CTCTGACTAGTACGCGCCTGATTCCCCTGAAACAGGCAGCTGCACAAGATCACCTTCGAAGCGCAGTTTGGCGACTTCATGCACCTTGACATGGGGCACACTCCTTAGCTGGCTGAGGTGGTACAAGCAGTAAGGGAGGGATTGTAAGAACCCTGCCCGTGATGCCAGAAATTCACGTATGATCGTCATTGCGCCTTGCTGACTTTCCAAGGCAGCGCTGTACACTGCATATCGGAGCAATAGATCTTGAACTGGTCACACAAAGCCTGTGTTGGCAAAGCACTTGTGTAGTCCTAACGCTTCGTGCGCTCACTGTCAAATGGGTGCCGAGGACGAAGGACTGGGTTCGAAAGTTCCGCGATCTCTACTCGCTGCACCTGACGGACAGCCAGAAGGCACGGAGCAAAAAGCCTTGCGCAGCATTGCGAAGCAGCATGTGCAGATATTTGGCAAACGCAGATTCTTGCCGCTGATGGATATGCACTGGTCCCAGGTGCGTAACCCTTCTCATCAAACGGCATGAAGCATGAACCAGGGCAGGAGAAAGACGAGGAAACGCAAAGGCCAAACAGTCCCAAGGCGTAAAAGGGAACACGATGCTCATCAAAAGCGGCTTTGACTTGCACGACCTGCAACTTTTATCGGCAATGCTCGGGGACTCCTTTGAACTGTCAAATGTCCAGCGACTTCTTCAAGCTCAGGCACCAAGCTGCTTGCTGGGCCATGTTGCTCGGACAATGCTTAGTGATGTTGAAAAGGGATCCTTTCAAGAAGAATTGCTCAAGGATTCGCGAAGTCGGATCGGCTTTGCTGCACGAACTCAAGTGAGCTAATAGTAGTTGCTCAGTTCAATGCAAAGTATCCAGAAGCCCAGAATGAGGGGGGCCCTTTGAAGGCTTGTGAGGAGGCGCCAGATGGCAAGTTGTCTGCAAGGTGATGTCTCCGGGTTGTGGAGAAGTTAGCTCAGACCTAAGACCCCTCACAAGAACCAGGCAACACGAGCCAGTGTTGTGAAAATTCCACTTTGATAACAAGCCCAAACCCAAGGAGCCGCACTCAATGAGGTCACACTTCAGCTGTTCATGCTGCAAGGCGCTCAGATGTCGCGAGCCTTAGGGCATGCACCACAGAGATTTGTGTCATGCCTGGTTGCTTCTTGGCTTCTTGGCTGTGGCAGCTAGCGTCACCACCTAATCATGATGCCAAAAGTGTGATCACGCCCTTATTCAATGAAGGGGTAGTGTAGTGGACACTGTTGGGCTGGAGGTTCTTCACAGATGGCCGCAGCCACGCAATGTGGTTTCAGGCGCCGTGCCAGAGATGACCTAATCAGCTGGCGGCAAGCCGTGCCCTGCTAACGTGCTGCTCGTCCCTTTCTCACGACGCTGATGATTGCCCAAGCCGTCATACATTTCGCTGGGCACGGAGCTTCACTGCGCACGGAGCAGCACTAGCAGCAGCAGCCCCTGACCTCCTCTTAGGATCTCCTGCCTTTTTCCAAGCGGCTTCTTTTCTACTGTCTTAGCGGTGAATGTCTTGTAGAGTTGTCCTTCCCTTGCATTCTGGGCATCAACAGTTCAATGCAGCACTGCTACCTGCGCTTTGGACGCTTGGGGAGCAAGAGTCTCATTGAAGTCCTTCCTGTTGTCGCTGGCAGGATGGGAAGCATGCCGCCCCGCAAGGCCAGGCCGAGTCTGCAATCAACTTGGATCGAGTCTGGTGCTTAAAAACTGGTAGGAAACTAATGAGGGTGCTGCCCCGCCTGCGACAGGCAAACACGCTGTTCATGACATTGAGAAGCTTGAGGACTGCGTGACATTTGCCAGTGAGGGACAACCAGCACGCAAAATAGTGTTTTCGCTGCTTCCTAGGAAATACCCCTCTGTTTCTCAGACACTGCTGAGCGGGATGCTTGGAATTTGCCTGCAGCTTAGAGCGTATTTACTGGTGCAAGATGGCAGAAGACAACCAAGAAAGGTTTAAGCAGATGGCAGTAGACTTGCTGAGACGCATTCCATGTGGGCCTGCGGCATTGCGTAGTGAATGCAAATGGCCCTCGATGTTGGGCACTGCTTTTTCTGAGCAGTCATGTGGGTAAATGGCGCCACGCAGCACATGACAGGAGATCTTCATGACACCATACCCGAATGATCCCGAATGTAGGTTTCTCCATGTCCTGTGTCCCCGCCAATGAAAAAAGGCCAAGCATCATCACCAGCCGCTTGCGCCTCCTCAAGGCAGCTGGGCCCAAGATGGCTCATGAAGGAAAACTGACCTTGATATATCTTCAAGAGAATAGACACACCCCGACCCCAACAAATCACCATCCCATGACTGCTGATCACGGAAGAACCCCCCAAAGTGAAAGACAACCTTCACCGCACTTCTGACTGCATACCTCTGACCTGCGGCACAGGCAGTCCGCTGGATGAACCTCATCGAGACTTGTCCCTATCTGAAAGGTATGCCTTGGTTGGCAAATTGAGGGGTAGTCAATGGTAGTCAGAGATGATCGACTGAATAGGCATCAAACTTGCATCAGAAAGGTGCGGGCGAGCCTGGAGTTTGTGTGAGGTTGGCCTTGGAACCTGCATGCGGCCTTGATTGGACGCGAGCCAAGGAAAGTGGCTGGCCAATCTTCAAAATTCTTTCACTGGCGCGCATCTGAACGAAGTTGTGCTCTTGTTTTGCTCACTACTACCACTGCACCCACTTTTTGACGAATTCTGAGTGTTTGGCCAGGGTAGCTCCCAAAGCAAAGCTTCTTGAGATTTCGTACATCGCACAGGTGACCTTCAATGGGCAAGCCACTCAGCAATGTTTGCACTCAGGAATTAGAGGGTCCTGCGCAAGACGCCGGCAGTACTGGTATTCGTGATTAAATGTTCAGGGCAGTGTGTTTGACTATGGGCCTTCGCTATCTAGCTAGAAGGTGGAATCGTGCCACACCGCATGCTGCATCTTACCTTCGTGCCATGAAATTTCTGATATTTGAGGCTGTTTGCTTCAAGCTGTTTGGAAATAGCGAGATGCTTGCAAGCTGGCGCATCTGAGCGGAGACTATGAACATGAAACAGCGCTGGTTGACGTGAACTTTGCGAAGGCTACCAAAGCCCAATTGGGGCAGAGGGATGTTCAGTTCAACCTTTGGGAAGCACCCTCACTGCCACTCAGTGGTGATGTGAAAAGCCGTTCTGCATAAGATGACTTGGGCTTGAGTGCTTTTCGGCTACAGAGCTGAAACGGCTGGCCAAGGTGTCGAAAGAAGCACCGACGGTGTCGTGCAAGATGCCCTGAGGCTGGCCATGGTTGACGAATTCCGCCGGAGAAACCCTTTTGAAATCACAAAGTCAGGAGAGGGCGCATCCCTGGACATCCTAAGGGCACTTGTAAATTGACAACAGTGAATTTAAGCGTTTTAGGGCCTCTTCGCCAACCGATTTTCTCAGTGCCTCCGGCCGAAAGCTCCGAGTGTCAAGTCGCAGCTGACGCTTACCAAGCAGAGTCCTCCTGGGTCCGACACAAGGACTCCGAACTGAACGAGAGGTTCATGACGAGAGCTGGTCAAAGGATTTGGCTTACCAACCAGGCTGTGAATTGAAAAGCTGAGCCTCTGGCCTCGCACATGTCATCGTGGCTTGAGACTCGGACTTTGCAATCACAATGTCGAAAGCAACGCTCAACTTGAAATCTTCATGGCAGGGTTCCGAAAGCGCCTGAATTCAGATTTCCAGAAGTGATAGGTTTGGATCAATCGGCTCATGGTTATCATGGAGGACGAGGCAGACTTCTTTGCAAGTCATGTCCGAGATCATTTGTTGCACTCATTCTACAGGACGTCAACGCTCGCTCTGTGGAGCTAGGAAGTCTCGGGAAGTAGGAAGAGCAAGGTCCCAAGAAAGCAGACTCCATTGGTTTTATCACGAACGCTCTGCAGCAACCCGCCCAGTTGCATTTCATGTCAGGGTCTTGCTTGCGCACAGGATCTTTCAGAGGGGTTGGTTCATTGGGCCATCACAGACTTTTTCACAGCATCCTGCGAAGAAGGTAGCATTGCCTTGCAGCTGTTTTTTTAGGCCAATTGGTACTGGTACGCTTATCGCCTTGCCTTCTAAGCTGCCAGTACATGCCGTAACCTTCATCGGGTTGTCAGATTCCAAAGCTCTGTCTCTGGTGCGTTGGCAGACTTTTTTACAGGCGTAGGACACGGGCAGGGAGCCCAAAGATCCAGGAGAGCCGCCGGCAAGAGATTTTGGCTCGGCTGGCTCCTAGCCTAATGGCCGCTGAGGCCAGTACAGAAGACTCTCCGCGCAGTCCTTCTGCATGCCTTCCGCAAAGGAGTCACAGCATGCAGGACAAATGCAAAGCTCCTAACTCCCAACTAGGCCCAAACCTGGCAGATTTCAAAGCTTGACGAGGCGAATGTGTGGAGATAACAAGACTCGCATCTCTTATTCTCCAGGGTCCAGGCAGCACGCCTGCTTGCAAAGCAGCGCCCCATGGCTTTACGGCGCCTTCTGTCCCTGGGGCCAGCGCCGACAGCTGAAAGAGTGCGAGGCCAACGAGCGTGCATCATGGCATCGCGCATCCTTGGATGTTTGGATTGCTTACTTTTGGAATCGTCATCCCCTTTCCAGTTCTCAAAGACACTCGAAACTTCAACCTAGTTTCCCATGGCACCCCCTACGGTTTCGTCCAGATTTCCTGCGGGCTCCCAAGATTTGAAGCCTCAAGGCAAAGCGATCTGAACACAGACCGAAGTACCGAAGCGCGCAGAAGAATACCATGCCTTTGGCAAGTATAAATCTCTCGCTACATTCACACCTGTCTGCAAGAGCATGCCAAAGAATGTCGGCCCACCTGCTGGCAAATCCCTTGACACAGATCTACCTGTCACGTGATGTTGAATGTTTTGCGTTCTGCCGCCTGATGCAAACTATTGCAGCTGTTTGAGTTTTGGCCATGGGTTCTGTAGTCAGGCTTTCTTTGTTAGCGGCGCTATGGCCTTGTCCGTCAGCGTGGTGCTGCTGAGCGGTCAGGAGGTGACCATCTCAGCACTGCCAGATAGCCCTGTCTTCCAAGTGCAGATCCAGGCCCGACATCGAAAGCTTACAGATAGAACATGACGTAGAACAGGTTGGTTCTGGGGAATGAATTTTGATTGACTTGTGCTGGGGACAACCCATGCTCAGCGCCAGGCCCAGAAAGCCCTGGGGCTTCGAATTGCAAGGCTGCTTGTCGGGGAGAAGCCTCTGGAGCGAGGGCGCACTTTGAAGGAGGAGGGGGTCTTTGACAGAGACGTCCTGACTGCCGTCGTCCAACCAGACAGGAGGGGAGGCTCAAAAACTGAAATGTTCATAGTTCCCCAACTACCATCCCAGACCCAAGTAGGGCCTTTTCGACAGCATTTCATTGGCAAAAGATTTTGAAGATGTCTCCTGGTCATGTGTCCTCAAAACACATCATGGGCCCACCAACTACAACTGTTTCAGAACCGGCACGTTTTTGGTGACCCACACTTTTACATAGACAAATGGCCTGCAATGAAGAATGCACCAGCTCCTTCAACTTTGCACTCAAAAGGATTTACTCATGTCAGTGGTCCCTCGGCTTCACCTTGATCCGTAGCGACGGGACGACCGTTGCCTGGGGCGACCCAGACAGGGGTGGAGAACCTCTCTGCGAGCAGGCCGGATTGCTTGTGTACCCGTGTGCCAGTGGATTGGGTTTGAGGACTCAAGTTCTCGGTGACGTAGTTTGCCGGAGCGACGTTCGCTCTTTGCAGTTCAGTCTGTGTCACCCGTGGGGATGTTGCACCTTTCCCTGGGTCGAGTTGTGATAAAGGAGACGGGGGTGCCCCTTCACCCAAATGTTTCAAAGTCAGTGCCGACGCTCAGTTGCAAGACGTTGACGCCGTGCTCGCAACTGAGAATGTGCAAGCCGTGCTCCACTTGGATGGCACGGTGGTGGCTTGCCATACTTTTACAGAATTACTATATCTATCAACTGGGAATTTGGCCTTTGCTTGGTACAGTTGAACAAAGGGGTGATCTGATCACATCGCGACGTGTCCAGAGAAGAGGTTTTGAGGCTGAAGCAGGCTCTTTGAATCCACTGCAGGCATTCCTGGTGACCTACTAAGTGCTGCGATGTTACATGACTTGTTGGACTAGCCAGGGCTTCTTGCGATTGCAGCAGGCATGTACCTATTCAGGGAGAGTGTTAGTCGCAGTCAGTTTGCCACGCCAGGCATTCGTTCATATCGAGATGGCATCCCTGCCAGATGATTGCTTCGCATTCAAAAGCTATTCAAAAAGGGCGATACACAGATAACGTTCGGGGCAAAATCAGACACACTCACCTTTGGGCGCATGCAGACAAACTCAACGAGCTGAGTGCTGAGGCCATGTGGGGTCATCCAGATTGGCATGGTGGGCATGAGAGCTTGCAAGAGGCGGCGTGCCTTTGAAGCAGCACTCCCAAATTGAACGAAGTGCGAGACGCCTGCAGTGCCAGGTCCACAAGCTGCAGGCCTTCCCGAAAGGCCTGGCTGCCATCAAAATGGACTACAGCGTCATGCTCATTGGCTGCAGCCGCTATGTAACGACCCCACCACCGCTCAGCGGCGTTCGACAGGTTGCAGCTTGCCAGGGCTCCATGTCAGAAGCGTATGCAGCTGTCCTGAAACATGGATGCTGTTCAACATGGTTTGATTTTCCCACCGCCAAGTTCAAAGAAACGCGACGAGCCGTTACGAGACTTCTCGGGTTTCTTTAAGCTGCGTTATCTCTTAGAGTGCAGTTAAGCTGAGCTAAGGAATGATGGGCGAGTCGTTGCTTGGGGTTGTCCACAGCTCGGAGGCAATTGTTCAGCTGTTGAATCCGAGCTCTGGGGTGTCCGAGAAGTCAAGTCGTGCAACAGCAACACCGCTGGTGCATTCGCAGCTATCCGCGAGGATGGGAGAGTGCCACTGGGGCCCAAAGCAACCTGCCCGGCTGCGATTTTCTTTGTTTAAGTTTAAGTGTGTATTACAAACAAAAGTCTATAGCTGGGTGTGTTTCTGTGACATTCTGTGACGTCAAGGATAACATGGGGCTCCAGAAGCTACGGAGGTGACAGCAGCGCCGTTCAAGCGCAGCTCTGTGATGTCCAGGATGTAGCTTCAACTAGCTTTGCCTTTGCGGCAGTCAAGACAGACGGCACCTTGCCTGCATTCTCGTCGTAAGGTCTTGGGAGATAAAGGCTGGCCTCAACGTAGCTTTCGTCGATTCCTGAACAGTACCTTCGCCAAATACTCTATGCAGGTACGGTCATCTGCTGGGGCGCCCCAGCACTGGGAGGGGACTCTGGGCCGACATTTTGGAAGCATCTACATATTTGTTGAGGTGCAAGCTGGACATCGTAAATCAGTGGATAGGACAGGATTAAGAAAGCTAGACAAGGATCAACCAACAACCAAGCAGTGGAATTGAGCTCTCCGTGGGGAGTTTGGGAAATTTGGCCAAGCCGTGGCATGGACTGGCTTCAAATTCAGCTTTTGCAGGGAGCCCCGTCGAATTTTAATGCCAAATCTAGCTCTCGCGCGGGACGTCTGAAGTTTTCGCGGGATCCCCACCGAAGGAAACAAGGAAGGAAGCGTCACTGGTGCACATCTTGTTTTTTGTGCATTGCGGCTCTTAGTACTCTTGCCATTATTCTGTTGTTTGCCATTTCCTTTTTAATTTGAATAGTGCCATGAACAGCCCCCTGACCAACTATGTTGATTGAAATTTTCGCCACCAGAGCAGTTGCCTTCCAACTATGTCGAGTAAATGTTCACTATCCGATCTTTTGTTATAGACTCCTGGGGAAAGAGGGAACAGGGAGGGGGCGGGAGGTGCATTACTTACGAACTTTGAGACCGTCGATTTGGCCCGCATCTTTGATTGTACCCCCGAAGTTTGCATCCCTAGGAGTCTCGGAGCCATAGATTAGGCCTCTGATGGCCAGATAAGCTTTGTGGAAAGCATTTGGCGGTCATGTTGCACGCTGCTTGGCGATACCGTCTCCCCCATATTTTTAGTTGCCAGTTAAGCAAACTGCCGCCCGCTCGAGGGGCCCCGCTCGGTGCACGAGGAGACTGCATTGCGTGCAGGCGCAGCGATGATCCCCGAGCACATCCAAGGCTCCACCACACCGGCAGAGCCGCGCAGTCAGCGGCAGCGCAATGTCTGGCCCGCTTGGGGGTGACAGTCAATGAGGCAATGCGCAGCTGGCCCCCGAACCACTCTGGGACAGCAAGAGCTCGGGATGCGGAGTCCAAATCTAAAAAAAGCATCTCGAACGGGCTCTTGTCCACAGCGGCTCCGGCACCTTGTTGCCACCCCCGTCTTGTTTGCATGGGGGGGGGGGGAAGGGGAAGAGGCGGCTATTAATGCTAAATTTAGTGATGTTGTTGCTTGCTGTTTCTCATTGTGATTGACAGTGATGCTATGAGTACTACTGTTACGTCACGCATTATCACTGCCTGTATTACCAGCACTGCTATTGTGAATCGAGTTGCTGCCAAAAGAACTCTATTATTATTTATGTTAATGCTTGTTTCAACTGCTAATATTGCTTGTAATATTACTTGTATTACCACTATTCTTGCCATTGCCATTATTGCACATGTGCAGCCCGTGCCCATTACCGTGTTTGGGGCTTATGTGTACCGTTCTTTTGCTAGTATTTGCACCAGTCATGCTCTGATTTCGCATGTTAGTATGTGCTGCCTTTACTATTGTTACTTGTTTTTGGTATTCTTACTGTTACCATGTTCACACACCCCCAAGTCGTGACAATTAACGTTTTGGTGCTTTGTATTTACTTTCTTGTTGATCCCTATTGTGGTGATGATAGAGCGCGGAGGAACTGCAGGCCGGCACTGATTACCATTCTTGTCAGTACTAGCATCAAAGTCAAAGCTATCTCCACTTCAAGTATTACTGCCATTCTTGTACTTTTTTGTTTATTACGTTTTTGCTTTTGCAAGACCGCAGTGATAGTGGTTCTGACTCTTACTACTTTTACGTACCATGTTTATGGCTATCACCTGCAATTCGTGGCATTGATACTGCGCAGGCCTTTTTGTTGATTTGAACTACAATCTACAAAGCTTCATTGGTGGTTGAACCGGATTTGTGCTTCATCCTCAGAATTGTGCCATGTATAGTCTTTGAGCAAGCGCAAACAACGTTTAGCTTGTTGCATGTCAAAGCTTACAGCTTGTTTGATCCGACGACGTGTTTTCTGCTCTCTTTGTTTTTCCTGCTCTCGCAGTGGGGTTGTTGTAGATTTTACCAGGCGCGGAGCCTGACTGCGGTGCTCATCGGCAACGTACCCCTGCAGTGCCCAGACGCCAAGTATCCCTGCAATGCCCAAACACCCAGTATGCTTGCTGTGACCAACCATCAAGTATCCCTGCAGTGCGTATCCCTGGAAAGGGGGGGAGGAGGGCGGAGGGGCAGGGAAACATTACATTTCTTGTGCAAAAGCAGCTTTAGGCTGGGGATGCTCGAAGTAAATAATTTGTTTTTTGATCCCTCACTGATAAATTCCAGGTAACATTATCCCGAGTGAAAGAAAAACTCGGGCATGCCATTTTAAAACAACGGCAGGATTGTTCGATTGTGCAAGAGAAGCTCCGAGATGTGTTGTACATTTGCGCCTCATGCGGTTCTTTTGCTGCGCTTCGTGGAGATGGAAGTGTAGTGACCTGGGGCTGTGAGAAGTCTGGTGCAGACAGCTTCCACGTGCAGCAAAAGCTTACCGCTGTCCAGCAAATCATCGCTTCGCGCTCTGCATTTGCAGCCCTTCGGACGGACGGTTCTGTGGTCACCTGGGGCCACGCTGCTGCAGGTGGCGATTGCAAATCAGTGCAAGCACGCCTGCTCAACATACAGCACATCGCTGCCTCTGCCCCTCGGGATAAGCAGTAAGCCGTTGTAGCTGCTGTAGCTCTGGCACTTGTCTTCACATAGCGTTAGGCGAGAGCGACACCACCTCATCCTTGCTTGACACCTCTGAGGCATATGCTTTTGCTGCTCTGCGAAGTGATGGTGAGGTTGTTACTTGGGGTCGTACCTGGGGTAGTGACTGCAGCAGTATGAGGAAGCACATGTTGTGAAGCTTGCTTCTATTCACCAGAAGGTTGGTGTGTTCGCACCCTTGCCATTCCGGCAGCGGTTCTTGCTGTCAACGCCTTTGTTTTATAATCTTCTAGGACTTGCCGAGATCTGTTAAAGTCGAATTCGGCAATTATGCCCAGCTGGTTGAGGTGCTTGAGGCACATGAAGCTACGGGATCTTATGAGCAGAGGGAGTGAGCATGAACTTCCATTATCATTCCATTGTGGGTCCAGACATTCCAGGTACTGAAAGCATCACTGTCTTGCAAAAAAGCCCTAAAGGTCATGAAGCAGCAGCTTGGAGCCTCAGGCCCTTCCTGCTCCAACCGTTCCCAAGTTTCACTTAAGCACCAGTGCCTGAGGCACGCAAGGCCACAAGGCTAGAGCGAAGAGTTCCTGCCAAACAAGTGCTGCAGTGGTATACCAAGGCTTGAAGAGGCATTGCCAAGATCTTTCTTCAGCTTTTGCAATCCAACACAGCATTCTCTCAAGATCAAGGGCCCAAAGCTATCGCCAGGGGTTGCGCTTCAGGCATGGAAGGCTAGCTGGTATACGCAGGATTGAGGCTTTGATTATTGGAGGGAGCTAGGCTCTCACAGGCTTGGCTTTGCGCTGCATTTGTGAAGGTGCCCTTTACAGCAACTGGGACGCTTGGATTGCCGATCCACGCAAGGTAACATGGACTTTGACAGGCGGGCCGGGCAATGTTGCAGGATGTTGCGAGTATTCCTGCCCAGACAGCATCAGCTGCGAGGCCCTAGAAAAGTAAAGCCGCCCAGTCGTTTTGCATGCATTTGGTTTAGTTCAAACACGGTAAACAGACCTAGCCAGTTGCAAAAGGTGGTGCAACGCTTGGCATCTAAGTTCACAAGCCAATGCAAAAGTGTACTCGGTGCAGGTAGTGCAGATTCAATGAACAATAGCTGATCAATTTCATGATAGAGTTGGCAGCACGAGGAACATTCTACGAGTCATATTGGTATATGCGGAGTGGGAAGACCACGCGGGCGATCACGAACACTACTCACGATTCCTTCTGTGCGCAGGCCTGGCAAAAAAGAAGCGCGTGCAGACAGCGGCGCTGGTTCTACAATCCCTGCGAAGCCAGAGCTTGCAATTTGCTCTCAACCGTCACAGAGCATGCGCGGGTTGATGAGGGATGGAAGATGTTGGAAGGTATGTAGGCAATGTAGGGTCAAAGCTTGTTTTCTTATCCCCGCTCTTTCGGTTTCCGCTCGGTTTTTCGCCTGCGCTGCAAGTTGAAGACGTTGGAGATCCTAGTTCTTTCTGAAATCCCGCTCTCATCAAACAGCTGAGCAGCCGTGAGACACAATCAAAAGTGTGGGTGCGTCTGAAATTCACCCTTGCAGTCGTTGCATCATGGGCGCCTGCTACACACGTATCATGGCACGCCCTGTGACTTCTTTTGCATGCTTGTCCGCCTGTAGCTTTGGGGCCCACAGTGGGCAGCGGCTGGTTATCACTACAGGTTCTAGGCTTGGCGGTGCTTCGTATTCTGACCCGCTAAAATTGAAGTATCCTTGGATCTCAGGTGCCAGGCAAGCATGCGAAAAGCTTGCAATGCTAGGAAGTGCGTTTGAGTTTGACTGGCGCGGTCGTTGGCAATGCTCCAGGGCTTGCATTGGCTTGCATGCACAGTGGCACCGCGGGTACTTAGCTGAGCATTTGCAGGTGAGGCTGTCGGAGTGGGCCACAGGCATGCTGGAAGTTTGTGCGATGTGTGCTCTGGAAAGAAGGTTCTCCGGCCGGCGTTGCAGACAACAATGCTTAAGTTGTTTTCCAAGGGTGGGCAATCCGTGAGGCTTCGGTTTCAGCCCTGAGGCCTGCAAGTCATGTAGTCATGTTTGGGAGCCCTGCCACTGACAGCAGTGACCCCAGGGCAGCATGCTTGCTAGCCTTAACTTTCCTAATTGTAGACGTGTGGCGCGGGAGTGGAGATCGAAGATAGGGCAAACATAGCTGGGTGTTTTGCTCTAAGTCTATTTCCTTCGTGTCGTTAATGCTGAATGAACTCAAGTTGCCTGGCAGGGGGCCCCAGGCCAAAAAAGGCGCCCTGCAGAAACACAGGGGCACTGGGCTTAGGGGTTCTTAGTAATAGATGGGCATATGCGTGTACCACATTATTAGGAAAGCGAGCCGTGACTATTTAGCTAATTTACGAGATCTCGGATTGTCAAACGTGCAGCATTGCTTGTTTCTCCGGATTCCGGCGTTACTTGCCAAGGATATGGACTACTGGAAGTCAATATCTTTCAGGTTACGGCAGTGATGACACTTGCCTGCAACAGCTGGTTTCATGCACTGCAACGAAGTATGCGCAGTGCAAGTACACTAGCTGGCAGCGTGCTGATGAAAGATACGAAGAAACCCTCACACTCCCCTCAAGGTACCGCGTCTCCATCCTTGCATCCCAAAATCTGGCAGTACCTAAGTAACCCTCACAGATCGCACGGTTGGTCAAATGATCTCAGCTCCTCTTCCAAAGTCGCCAACTCCCCTTTCCGATAGTCTGCTGCCTTGGGCGATGGTAGGCGAACCATCCGGGTGAAGCTTCAGCACTTGGACACTGTATGGTAAATCTCTCTGGAAGCACACAGTTCTCAGTTGATTATTCCGGTGAGTTGGTGGACGGGCTGAAACTAGTAGGATGTCCTGAGATAGATGAGTTTCATGGTCCCCCGCACAACGCTGCTCCTGTACCCAATTTTGAAATGCTGCTCCCAGAATCCCAAGCAGAAATTACTCGAACCCAACACAGACAAGGCCCCTCATCCCTCATGCTAAGGAGCGCTGCAAGAATCAGCGGCCATTGGGCAGCTGGGCTCTCTTCCTTGCACCACTGGCGTGATAGAGGCCTTTGATAGAGCAGGTTTCAGAACTGTTGGCAAGACGTACGATCGTCAAACTGTGGCACAGCAGCTGCAGTCAATCGAATGTTTGATGCGAAGCAACTTCACACATTGATGAGCTGACCTGAAAAAGGAGCATAGCGCATAGACTTGCAGGCTACTCTACTCATTTGGCCCTAATCCGACCTAATCGTGCAGGCCTCAACACGACCACGGTTGCACAGAATGCTGCCATTGCTGCCATTTGGCTGCAGTTTTCGGCCATTTGCGGCCTGCAGGCTTGCCGAAGACGGCACTTCGGCCTTGAGGCGATGTGTGGGTGCAATCCTTTTCTCAAGCATCCTCGAAGCAGTAGCTTGGGGCTCCTGAAACCACAATCGCCTAACGCGAGCTACATCCAGCAAGCCAACAAACCCAAAGACCTAAAGACCTCAAGGTTCCGGAGAGTAAGACAGTACTGTAGAACAGTAAGTGTGGACAAGCACCAGTCGGCGGTGGACACCATAAGTTCTGGAGTGAGACGAGGCGGCTGCTCTGGGTGACTGGCGTCTTGCTCACAACTTGGCATCTCAGGCGTGCACGCAAGGCTGCGGGAAGTAGAGGGTTCAGCTTCATCCAGCTCGTTTGCGAGAGAGAGGGAGGGGGAGAGGTACCCGACATTCGAACATCGGACCAGCGTTGGGGCGCAGGGTTGTCTATCACCCGTAGAAGAAGAAGGGAGAGATTCTGTGAAAGTCATGGCTTTGGAAATCCTTCAGAACAGGTTCGGGTAGAGCTTTGAGAGGGTGAGCCCCTGTTCCATCAACAGCTCCAAGCGGCCCGAGCTGCAGCCAAGTTCAAGCAAAACTGGCTGCTAGACAGCCGCGAGTTGGCCTCAAACGATGCCCTCTAAGCTGTTGACGTGGAACCAAGTGCAGGGCATCCAACTTTGTCTGGGAAATAAAAAGAAGGCTCAAAAGAGTTGAACTTGCTGCTTGGAAGAAGAGCACACAGATCCCAAGCCTTTCCTTTAGCTTAGAGGGCAAGTCGACTGGTAATATTCCCGAAACTGTCAATGCATAATCCTGAAGCCTGATACTGTATTGCAGAGGTTTGGTGGACCGCGTCACGCTGGGATCTGTCATGGCTGTGGCAAGCTGGGAAAAGGCTTGGCTTGTTTCATCCTTTCTTAACTTGTGGTAGGACCTCAGGTCATGGGCTTGGCAATTCGAGGTGAATTCAGTTTCCAAGGTACGGCCTGGAGGGTTGAGTAACGCAAGGTCCAGGGGCCGGGGTGGAGGACGGTTCAAATATAACTGAATTAAGGAATATACCTTAAATTAGACTGGGACCCGTAAAATGATTTAAGGTATATAGGCCGATGCATCGTTTGTGTTGCTACTGAGAGACATGGTAGTTTTCCCTGCACCCCCATATACACCCCAAATAGAGGGACCGCCCACATGGTCCCCTTAATTTTGGCAAATCCCCACATATCTTCGTGGCTGAGGTCTCGGCGCTCAACGGGTGAACTGAACTATGGCAGGACCTCCATTCATCGTGAGCGAAAAACATCTGGGCAAATTGACCCGCCACTCACGATGTTGAAGGGTTGAAAACTGACCTGTGCAGGCAGTCTCGCTGCTGACGTTGATACTTGGTGTGCATCCTGAGCACATTAGGGATTAGCTGGTCCATGGGAAATCGCTACGGGTCGCCGTAGCTTTGGGTCATAGAGACTTGCTGGCTCTGAAGGTCTTTTTCGAGACATGTGTAATGAAACTGAGGAGCCGGCTTCTTCTCCACCAGCCACTGGATCCCATCTGCCTCCGTACCACCATGACCTCCTCAGAAGCTGGGATGGCAACACCCCGAACTAAGCGACGGAACGGCCATACTGACCCTTGCCGATTCCTCCGGGACAGTACTGCTAATTTCATCTCGGGCCATCACATCTTTCATGTACTGGCCAAATGGAAGAGGAACAGTTACCAAATTGTAGACGGCCTTTGCATCATGAGGTTCTTACCATTGCAAGCAAGACATGAGCATACCAAACAAAACAGCCAAGGAGAAGCTAAGCCATTGGGAAAATGTGCTCCAACTGCTGAGACATTTTTATGCAAGGTGGGCTTTGCAATGCGCGCAGATTGCTGAGACAATGTCGGAGAGAGAAAATCCTGAAGATTCCTGAAGATAAGCTCCAGATCTTGGGAAGGGAGGACGGATCAACTGCTTGATTCCCTGGACGAGCCTGAGTGAAGGCAGCAACATGGCATGCGCAGGCCAGGAGATATCGGTGCTGCAAGCTTCAACCCCGCCATTTCTGCATGCGAGACCCTTGGCCTCAACCTGTATGCCACTGCTACAACCCAGCAAATGTTACCTCAAGATGCAAGCTCGAGTATCCTCAAGATGCAGCTGCCAATTCTGTCGCTCCCTTTGATGTGTTCCTCGAGTCTTGACACCAACCAAGGAAGGGGCTGCAGTGGCAGTTTGCTTTGCACATCTTGGGCATGGCTGGAGACCGGCGCTGGAGACCCAGCGATGTCACTTGCTTGAATTAAACTTTGTGTTGGGAGCTGTCGGCTATCTTGTACGGATCTACCCACCAGTCACGAGGCAAGCCGTTTCTCTGGACAGGTTGCAGACTTGCGTAGCTAGAGCACTGCGCTATGGAATCATGGAATGCATGCAGCGTGTGTCGCAGTTGCTCTCGTTTGGAAAAGTCGCATTTAGTCCGGGCCTTCTGCTGATACAACTCATAAACATGCATAATTTTGCTGAGCCTTGCGTTAGCGCTGGTCTTCCAACACTGAGGTGAGTTGGGCCGCTGCAGTGAGTGCTGCTTGGTGTTGCTGGATTTCAGGACCATGCCATGCACAGGTACAGTATGGTAACACGGGTCCACCAGGGGGGTGATTACCTCAAAGAAGTACTTCTCAAGTTCTTCACTAGCGGTGGCGGCAGGGTCAAATATTGCAATTTCTGTCGAGTTTTAATTGTTTTCGGGCGTTGCCCCCAATCTCTCTTTTTGCTCTTGAGCTTTCCATAGATCCATGATCGTCATCACGTGAGCTGGATGCAAGTTCAACCGCCTGTCTGTTGCAGTGTCACGAAGAGCGCGTGTGAGGATTATTGGGTAGGCCCCTTCTGAAGAGATCCCCTTTCGATGCTCTTATTCTTCCAGTAGCCATTACAGACCTGACTCCGCTCTTGGGGCTTGGCTTGGAAAAGGCTCTTTTGACTACCTGAACACCCTCTGAAAAAGCATTTGGGGAGGGTTCCCTTCCCCACCTGCACCAATTTCTGCTTATTAGTTCCGAACCAAATTGCATTTCAAGGGTAAATTTCTCTCCTTTCAGCCATTCATATGCTTGCGGGAACCCGAAACAAATCCCAAGCGTGCTGATGATGCGTCGCTGCCGGCGCGCGCTTGCGCCGTACATGGCGGCATCGCCAATACGGGTAAGATTCCGCTTTGGCTTCAGGTAGAAAAATGATGGGAATGGCGGAGCAACATGTTTACCGCATTTAGTCGTGTAGGTTGGTGCACAATGGTAGCACATCAGTTTCTAACTCGCTGAAAGTACGTGCAACAAATTGCAAAAGCACGGACAGAATGCGCAGTTGACAGTGCTGGGCTTGCGTAACGCAGGCGTCTCCGCAGCACAGGTGCTCGGAGCCAGAAAAAACGTATTTGGATCGCTTTGCTGGGTTTCAAAGCAATACTTTGGGTTCCAGTAGGCCTGTTTGGGCTCCCATTTCCTTCTTCACACCGCGCCGCTCCAAAAAAGTAGGAGTGTTGAGGCGTCAAGAAACGAGAAACCGAGGCCCAATGATGTGGATCATAAAAAACACCCAATTTCATGAGGGGAAGCCTCCAAAGCGCGCCCACAAACCGCCTTAGACCCCCAAAACCAATTTCCGAACAACTTGGGTGGTACCGGCCTTGGCATGCAGCCGCGCTGGAAAATGGCGGCCAGGCCGGATTAAGACCCCGCAAGTAGAGACGGGCGATTCTCCATGTGCTTTGCTGCTTTCTTTCTCAATCTTGCACAGGCGTGATGATCGTCTTGGCTTGCACCTTCTGACTAGCAGCATGAAGTGGAGACATGAACCCGTTGAATTTAGGCATAGAAGTAAGTGGAGGAGAAGGAAGTAGACGGCATGCTCATAGTCCTGGCGAACGAACAGCGATCAGATCGTGTTGGAAACAGTGCCTTTGCCTTATAGCCTGGAAACATAATCCCAATGTAAGCAGAAAGTTTGACAGGGAAGCAGGTTCAACTGAGCCCGGAACCGACCCCGGGGGGGGGGGAACTGGGAGGGACTCGGCTGCAGGCGCATGGTAGGTTCCTGGTCACGGCCCACCAGTAAGATCGGCTCGCCTGTGTATGGGGCATATTCTAAGGAAGCTGGAGGTGGAGTGCTTTGTAGCTTTCTTCCGTGGACTTTCTATGAGCTAGCGTCCTGTGTAGCAAGTGCGTGTTTCAGAGGCATGCAATAGGAGGTTCAGAATTTCTAGCCGCCATCTTTACAAAAGTGAGAGCAAAAGTGATGGGCAGGGCTTGGAAGGACATTTCGACTGTCCTTTCTACCTAGAAGCCCGGGCAGGCACGTTCAGAATGCTTCCTCGAGCGCCTGTTTGCCCCATGACGGCGTAAGGCCTGTGAGAAGGCGGGCCCCTGGCAGCGAGCGCTTTCGCTGAGCGGGTCTACAGCTGCAGGGCTGGTGTTGCCGCTCTCCAAGAACTTGAGACGCGAACCCAAAGGACGTAACAGCCCAGCACGTGGCAGCTTGCTACGCTGAATGCCAAGGCGCGCTGCCAGAACCAATGCTCTCTGGCATAGTTGCAATCGCTAACGTGCATATTCCTCCCCTATCCATTACAAGGAAAGCTATGTGGCTTGTTGCCCGGGTTCCCAGGTATAGCGCCGTCATCAGCGCCTGCAAGCATGCTGGACGGGCGTGGGATCTGAATTCGCTCAGCCGGAAACCCACTTTGGCAAACCTAGTGTACTCCTCGCCTGGGAAGCCCCGGCAACAAAACAGTGGTTTCAGCTTGCTCTTGTGTAAGCCCAAGCCAAGGCAGGGGTCGGAGCTTTTCATCTCACTCCCCAGCCATGATCCCCCAAACCCCACGTAGAAGAAAAGCGATTGCAAGCTTCACGTTGCCTTGATTGACCATTTTGTTCTGTGGGCTTGAGGAGTCGAGTCCTGGCGCTGGGCGCTACGGCTGCTTCGGCAGTGCGCTGATATTGGGCTGCGGCCCGGAACTGCATCCTGGCGGTGGGAGTGAGACAACGGTATCCTTGGGGGAGATTGCCAGTTGCGAAAACAGACTGTAGGTTACAGGAAGCCAACCTGAGGTCTCTTATTCGGCGGTTGCTTGGCTGCAGCTCGGGTCATAGTTTGGCTGTTGCGTTTCCAAGGCTGAGCGAGTTCTCAGGGCACTTGGGGGCGGTTAGGTCAATCTGCATGTTGTGCTGACGGCATTCGAGGACGAAGTGCTCGAGGAACCATCACCCAACGTAGAGCTTTCTCCCTCCAGTATCCTCCATTAGTTTTGAAGTAAAGAAGTTGGACACGGGTTCCTGCTTGAGTACGGGGAACTTGTAGCAAACTGTTGAACAGGCAGCTGGAGCTCTTGTGGTAATTAGGTGACCGAGGCACCCATGCAGACAAGGGCTATTGAGGCCCCTTTGGACGTTTGATATCGAAATGTACAGATAGTCAGCAGAACGCCGCTAGCAGCAGCACGGCGGAGGCATGCCAGAGAAACCGCGTCCGATGATTCCGACCCAACCATCAGAAGTATAGCATGAAGGATGATGCAACACACATCCAACGGGCATCTTGCGAGAAACACATGTAGCAAACCTGCATGAAGGTTCTGGAGGTTTGTCGGCAATTCAGTCCCTGGCAGAGAGTGGTGGATCTTTGGCAGGCGATGGGCACCTCGTCCAGCTTACCAAGAGTCGGAGTGATGCGCCACCACGCCCACCTTAAATTGCAGGGATTTGAGTGTGATTTGCCACCACCATTTCAGGTGCTCAGCGACTGCAGGCCTCCATCATTGCCACCAACACAGCCTCCTGGCATGCATCATGGTAGTTCTTGCGCGGTCTCAGTGATCTGCAGTAATTCTGTACTTACAAATGAGGATTTCCTTACGTACGCCATGAGCAATTCGTCTCGTATCTTGTGCGGACCTATCTGGTTGCTTTAGCTGCAGTTCCCGTACCAAAAAACTCAGCAAGCACAACGTTCCAGGCAATGCTCGCGTGCCTTGAGTCTGGGCGCTCGGAGCAAGTCCTGTGCCTTAGCTGCATTTTGCAGAAATGCAGTAAGCAAGCTTAAAGTCCAACAGCTGGCTCTCCAGTTGTGGCAATCGGCCAGCAGTAAGCCGTCATGCCTAGCATAGTGCAAGGGCGGGCTTTGCCTGTGCCAGCCAGTTCTCACCTCAGGCGACTGTTTGGTGATGTGAAGAGGCAGAGTCTGCAGCCCACATCCCTGACTTTCAGCCTCTTGGACATGTGAGAGAGTTCAATCGGCTTATCTGCATTGATAGGATGCAGCAGCCAGGGTCATGCCTATGCGATCACCATCTCCTGCGGTAGCACTTTGATGTGGTGGCAAAGGGAAAGCTGCCCCTCCTGACTGCCCCTCCAAGAATATGTCAGAGTAGCTGCGATGGACGCTTTGCACTGACCTGCCTGTCAATGCAACAGAGGCCGCTTGGCAGCTGCGCTGGCATACTCCCCACATGACACCGTGCGACTGTTGGGCAGTGCTTCGGCTCGCAGACAGGTGGATCCGCAGGTGGATCTGAAACGCAGAGGATGCATGACGCATGCGCAGTTCCATTACCAAACAGCCCTGGGTCCAGCACATCATTGGATCCTGCCGTGGTGCTCTGTCACATTCAGGTCTTCGAGATGATGTCATGTTCGATGCCAGGAGCTGGCTGTGCATGCGGAAGCCCAAAACTCTGCGCGCAGAAGTTGTCGAACGTGCAAGCACGCCTACAGGGTTCGAGGTAATTCAGCATTGATGTAAGACTGGATCTGGTCTCAAACCCTTCGGGATACTGCAGCACGTGCAGATGTGCACAGGATCCGACGTCTATGTGCTGCTTGCAGGTAGCACAGCTGAGCGAGAAATCTGGAGGTCGTTACGGCGACTGCCTTAGATAAACATGCGCAGGCCAACAGCCGTTGAGGACAATGTGAGAATGCGCGTTCCGTATTTCACCACTCGCCGTGTCACAGCCACATGCGTCCCAGCTTCTTTGCTCAACGTAGTTGCCCCAACGTAGCTGTGCAGCACTTGTCCAACCATGGCAGTGCGCACGCTGGTGGGTGCTCTGCTGCTGCAGCAGGGCCTAGGCATCCAGATGCATGAGCCTGAAGGCCACAAATTTGGTGCTCACAGGCCTACCTGCAAGCCAGCCTGCCTCCCGAACTGTCCAGCATCTTCCCGCACCGGTGTGCCTTGCATGCCTGTGGCTGATGTGTGGCCCTACAAGGGCAACGAGTCATGGCGTGTGGAACTCGGTGAGCGAATACTGATGGCAGCTCATCCCAACAACAAGGCCACCGAGAGTGCATGCAGAGGGTTCAAGCTTTTCGGCGATTCTGCCTGGTGCTTGGCAGCGTTCCAGGGCGACTACAACCGGTTGGGGCTCTCTTTTGGCATTGAGGAGAGGGACCTGTGGAGCGAGACAATGAGCAACGAGTTCCACATGCCTACCAAGCTGTACGATTGCTTCCAGAATCCCAAGTCTTCTCCTGCCTTGGCAATGATTGCCCCAAACGCCGTCGGCTCCTGTGCTGGGAACCCACACCACTGCTATGAGACCCACTATGATGCCTTCCGTGTTTGCTTGGGCCCTAAGCACGAGACGGTTGACAAGAGGGAGTACACGTCCCTGTCAGAGCTGCTTAGCAGCCGAAGCGAGATGTCGACACACCTGAAGATTGATGTGGAGGGCTCTGAGTGGTCAGTCCTTGAGGACCTCCTGAAGAACGAGGAGGACATGAAGAAGATCCGGACGCTGGACATGGAGGTCCACTTTGGCTTCGGCGCAGCTTCCGAAGCTGCGCATCACAAACTGAGCAAGAAGGACCAGCTTCAGCGCGAAGTTGGTATCTTTGAGCAGCTGGCTTCACGTTTTGCTGTGACAGGAACAAACATTGAGACGAATGCAGATGGCTGGCAGCCTTCTCAGAGCTGCCCCAAGCAGCAGTGCGAAGAGCCCTTGGTGCACACTGCCGGAGGGGTGCCCGTGAACCAGTTTGCCATCAGCTTCGTGAACCATGCAAGCCTCGAACACCAAATCCCTGGACCTGCAGAAGTCACAGAAGCGCAGCACAACCTTGCACAGGAAAACGCAGAGGATGAAGTGGAGGATGAAGCTGAGGACCACGCCAAGGATCACGCTGAGGACCATGCCGAGAACGATGCGGAAGATGATGATGCTGAGGAGGATGTTGTTGAGCTGGCTTAGCATCGTGCGAGGGATACAAGAGATGCACAGATGACAAAAGCAGTGACTGTGCAGATTGTTTGGTTGGGTGACTGCAACAATTTGTTTCGTTTGCAGGGCAAGCCACAAGTGGCAGCAGCGCATTACATTGGTTTAGAGATCGAGTGCCGCGCTTGGGGCAAGCAAGGCTCTGAACATCTCCGGGCTCTGGCGATGGAGCGGATAACTCAGACTGTCACAAGCCAAGTCATCAATGTCTGGCAACATGCGCGACATGCTAGATGGTATGCGAGGCACAGGTAACATGTTCAGCGAACCAACGATTCTCTTGCCTCCAACTGCAACAGACTGGTAACATGCTACCACCGATGATGCCGCTGCTTCATCCAAGTGCACCGCAAAACAACACTTTCAACCCACAGCCACTGATACTCCTGATATTGAAGGTCACTGATTGCGAGGTTCTTCGAAGGGCTGTGGTCCTTTGGTGCAGAGCTCAAAAATTCGCAAGGCTTTGGTCGGCCAAGGGCTCACCGCAGCTCGCGCGGCGGCACTGTGGAATCGGCGCCATAGCGCTTGGGGCGGCCTCATGTGCTCCTTGGGCCCAAGGAGTACTTGGACTATATTGCAAAAGGATTCGGGATTGTGAGGATTTGCATGTTTGGGCTGCTGAGGCCTAATATTTTTTTCAAGGAAGATGCAGATTCGCTGTCATGTCTCTGTCTTAAGTTGAACTTGCGTTTCATCCTTGTTGGCTGTGACTCCAAGCACAACGCAGCGATGGCTTCGCTCCTGACGATATGGAAGGATGAGGCCTTAAGGCATGAGACGTACGGTGGAATCCCTTGCTTGCGTAAAGCCCAAGGTGTACGTAGTTCACACTCTTGTTGAACACTGATCTGCACACTAGTCCAGAGGCAAGTCCCATCAGATTGTATGTGATTTTTGTTTTCGCTTTCGCCTGACATGGTCCGCCCACAGCATCCAGCATCCAGGAATACACTTGGTTAGCTTGATTGCTGACTATCTCATCACGAAATTGACAGCAGGAAAGGCTTAAGTTTCGCTAGTCAGTTTGAAAGCCGGAAAGGTACTGTCAACTACCCACTGTCCGCCCCACCCAGCTATCGGTTTTGGACCCAAATGCGGCTTTTGTGGCATTCTGAGTCTCAGTGTCCTCAGATCCTCAGGCCGTGGCCATGGCTCGGTTGGGTCAGCTTCTGGGCCGCACTCTGTCAGCTTCAGGTTTGTGGCGCCACGAAGTGCGTCGGCAGAGATCGTTTGGGCCTTCAAACTGAATGAAGCCAAACAGCTCAAGTGGAAAGTGCAGGGCGAGGGGGTAGAGCAGCTCGACTGGAGAACACTTACTTTTGGCAGCTTTGCCGATGTCAGGAGCACTGACAGTGAAGCATTGTCAGAAGCCCTGCGATGGTTTGACTGAAGCTGAATTATTCTGAATTGAGGCTACGTGAGGCCTACCTTTACCTCACCATGACTGAGCTCAAAACTCAGGCCTCTGGCAGGAATCCACTTTTTTGAAGAGTTGGGATAGTGACATAGTGTCCTTCAACTCTTTGTGCGCTTGCCTCAAGGACAGCTGACAATTGCGGTGATTCTAAACTGACATCCCCACGTATGATTCATCACAGGCCTATCGCTTGGCTTAGTGAAGGGGTCAGGGAAACAAAATGCTTCTTGCTCAGGATTCTGGAGTTGTGGTGTAGATCAAGGATACGCAATTGGTTTGACCGGTGAGCTGCTTCCAGCTGTCACATGCAATCACCTTTCTGTTGACTGACGCTCGGCTTGTGCATTTTCAGGGGTAGACTAGAGGGGTCTTAGGGAGAAACACGCTATGGGCCAAAGCTGACACAACAGTTGATGTTGCTACTTTCTCATTTCTGAATCGCTTCTCCCTGTTCAGAGTCGGGCTGCATCGCCCAGGGTCCATGTGGCTGACTTGATGTCTCGGGTGGCTTGCGCTGGCTCCCCGGACTTAGCAAAGCTGCAGTCCTGTTGTGCAGCACTTGCCACTGGCTAAGGCCCATGGGGCCTTGTTGCAAATACCGCAGCTATGGGAAATCCTTGGCTACGTGGAGGATGAGATTCAGGCAGCTGTGTACTTTCAGTCTGGGCGTAACATTTTTGCAGGTGTTGAAGATGTCAGAAGTTCTTCTCGCTCAGCCCAAGACCAGCTGTTTTTTGATGCACGATATTTGCAATGCCCCTGCGCCCATCTCAGACTAAGTTTCCCACACGATGAAGCAGATGGAAACGTGGTAGTGCTGCTGAGGACTTGCACGTCCTGCCTATGCAGTATATCAGTATATCAGCGCATACCCCTCACCCAGTGTATTGGGCGAGCAAAGTTGCAAAAGCTGCAAGAGTGCCTGCGTAGGCGTAGTCTTTGCCCCGCAAAGAGTATTCCCGCGTAGCCGCGCCTGGGCATGTGTAGGTTGTTGTCTTATCCGCGCAGCCTGTGGTCTTTGACTTGACTGTTCTAGAAGGCAAACATGGCAAACAGGCACGGGCTGCTACCCGGCATGAATAGTATGAGTGTTCCCGCGTAGCCTACCGCAGGGGAAACAGCGATCAACTTTGCGAGGGCCTCCCTTGCCGACAGAAAAGCAACAAGGAAAAAACACATCACACACACACACACACACACGCACACACGCACACACACACACACACACACCAGATACCAGGTCAAAGCCTGTTGTCAGGAGGTCTCTGTTCTTTGGTCTCTTGTACTTGTTGGG